AGACGTGGCCGCAGACAGAGGCCTCGTTGCAATTATTGCCAGAATCTTGGGCATTTTGAAGAACGCTGCTATAGGAAGTACCCTCATTTGAAGCCAACGTCTGCCAAATTTGCTCAAACTGATGTTACGCCACCTTCAACTGGATTAGTAACTCTTTCAAGTGCCGACTATGAGGCACTTCTCAAGAAGGTTTCTTCTCAGCATCCTACTCAAGACACTGGTAATCATGTTGCTTGTTTTTATCAATCATCTCTTGGACCCTGGATAATAGACTCAGGTGCTACTCATCATCTTTGTGGTAATAAAGATCTCTTCACTTCATTTTCTTATTCTAATAACCTACCCCCTGTCACTCTTGTTGATGGCACTAAGGCTCCTGCTCGTGGAATTGGGGAAGCCAACCCAACTCCCCTTTTAACTTTGAGTTATGTTTATTATATACCTGGCATTCCTTTTAATTTAATCTCTGTTAGCTAGTTGATTCATTCTCTTTCATGTACTATTACCTTCTCTAAACAATCCTTTTCTATGCAGGATTCGGGTACGGGGAAGACGATTGGAGCAGGCGTTGAGTCACGAGGTCTCTACTATCTGATTGCACCACCTTCTCCAGTAGCCTGTTCTCTCACAGAGTCTCCTGAGCTAATTCACAGTCGTCTGGGTCATCCAAACCTCTCCAAGCTTCAGCATATGGTTCCTTTTTTATCCAATCTTAAGTCTTTAAACTGTCATTCTTGTCAACAAGGAAAACACACTCGCTCCTCCTTTGCTAATAGAGTCAATAAAAGAGCTGATGCTCCTTTTTCTATTGTTCATTCTGATATTTGGGGTCCGAGTCGAACAACGTCTGTTTTGGGTTTTCAGTATTTTGTCACCTTTATTGATGATTTCTCCCGTTGCACTTGGGTTTATTTAATGAAAAATCGTTTTGAGTTATTTTCAATTTATCAAAAGTTTTGTGCAGAAATAAAAACTCAATTTGGTGCTTCTATTCAAATCTTGCGCAGTGATAATGCAAAAGAGTATGTGTCTCTTGAATTTTCTAAATTTCTGGAAACACAATGGACGATACACCAGACTACCTGTCCCCACACTCCACAACAAAATGGAGTCGCTGAACGTAAAAATAGACATCTAGTTGAAACTGCACGTACCCTTCTCATTCATATGAACGTCCCACTCCGTTTTTGGGCAGATGCTATTATCACCTCATGTTTCATTATCAACCGCATGCCCTCTTCTGTGCTAAATAATGATGTTCCCCACAGTATTTTGTTTTCCGGAGCACCTTCTTATCCTCTGCCTTTACATATTTTTGGCTGTACTTGTTTTGTTCATGATCTTACTCCAGGTAAAGACAAGTTGACATCCAAGGCCTTCAACTGTATTTTCCTTGGGTATACACGTTTTCAAAAAGGGTATCGTTGCTATTCTCCTGATCTCAAGCGTTATATCGTTTCTGTTGATGTCACTTTCCTTGATCAGCAGCCTTTTCACTCTACTCCGTCTCCAGTGTCCCAAGTTGATCAGGTCCTTCCTGTTCCTTTTCTTGACTTGTCTTTACCAGCTGCAGGTGACCCTATTCCAGAGGAGCAACCAATTACCTCCATACCTGCAGATCGTCCTCTCCTCACATACCAGCGTCGTCAGCCTGCACCTCCTCCGACTTTGCCTCTTGATGACTCATCGCCCTTTCCCGTCGGCTCTTCTCCTCCGGATCCTCCATCAGAGACTCCTCCCATTGCCCTTCGGAAAGGTATTCGATCCACTCGAAATCATCATCCCCTTTATTCTTTCTTGAGTTATGACAGACTTTCTTCACAACATTTTACTTTTGTTTCTAGTCTCTCTTCTATTTCCATCCCTAAAACCACAGGTGAAGCACTATCTCATCCAGGGTGGCGCCAGGCGATGCTTGATGAAATGCAGGCACTTCACTCCAATGGCACTTGGGATCTTGTTCGTGCTCCTCTCGGGAAGTCTGTTGTTGGTTGTCGATGGGTGTTCACAATTAAAGTTGGTCCTGATGGCACTGTTGATCGCCTTAAAGCTCGCTTAGTGGCCAAGGGATACACACAGATCTTTGGTCTTGATTATGGGGATACCTTTTTTCCTGTTGCTAAGATGGCTTCTGTTCGCCTGTTTCTTGCCCTTGCCGCCATTCATCACTGGCCCCTTCTCCAACTTGATATTAAGAATGCTTTTCTACATGGTGACTTGCAGGAGGAAGTTTATATGGAGCAACCACCAGGTTTTGTTGCTCAGGGGGAGAATTCTGGAATGATATGTAAACTTCGGAAATCTTTATATGGCCTGAAGCAATCTCCTCGGGCCTGGTTTAGCCGTTTTAGTTCAGTTGTTGAATCCTTTGGATTAATCAAAAGCAAAGCCGATCATTCTGTCTTTTACCGGCATAGCTCTTCTGGCCAGTGCGTTTATCTCCTGGTCTATGTTGATGACATTATCATTACAGGCAGTGATCAGACCGGGATTGATCAATTGAAAGAGCATTTATTCAATCAATTTCAGACCAAAGATCTTGGCAGACTTCGATATTTCTTGGGGATCGAAGTTGCACAGTCTAGGCGGGGCATTTCCATATGTCAGAGGAAATATGCACTGGATATCCTAGATGAGACTGACATGTTAGGCTGTAAACCCATTGATACACCTATGGATCCCAATGTTAAGTTATTACCAGGACAGGGGGAGCCACTGCCAGATCCTAGTCGCTACCGCCGACTAGTTGGAAAATTGAATTATTTTACTGTGACAAGGCCAGATATCTCCTTCGCAGTGAGTGTTGCAAGTCAATTTCTTGATTCTCCCTGTGACTCCCATTGGGATGCAGTTATTAGAATTCTCCGATATATTAAAAAGGCGCAAGGAAGAGGTTTATTATATACAAATAAAGAGAGTTCAGAGATCTCTAGTTATTCAGATGCTGACTGGCAGGTTCTCCTTCAGATAGACGATCCACCTCAGGGTATTGTGTTCTCTTCGGAGGAAATTTGATCTCTTGGAAGAGTAAGAAGCAAACTGTGGTCGCCAGATCCAGTGCGGAGGCAGAATATCGGGCAATGGCAAATGCAACCTGTGAGCTCATCTGGCTGAGTCAATTGCTGAAGGAACTCCATCTCTGTGAACAAAGGCCTATGAAGCTCATCTGTGACAAGCAAGCCGCTTTGCATATATCCTCTAACCCAGTCTTTCATGAGAGGACCAAGCATATAGAAATTGACTGTCATTTTGTTAGAGAAAAGATCCAGTCAAGGGAGATCGAGACAGTATTTGTCAATTCCAATGATCAACTTGCGAATGTATTCACTAAAGCTCTTAGAGGTCCCCGAATAGATCATATTTGTAACAAGCTGGGAGCTTTTGATATATACGCACCAGCTTGAGGGGGAGTGTTATAAATAATATTAATTTATTATTATTAGAATAGTCTAGAATAGTCTAGATTGTGGGCTTGGCCCATTAGATCATCACATTAGGTCTTTTAGCCTCTATAAATAGAGAGCCTCCTTGTACATACTTATATACTCGAATATACAATATATTTCAGATTCAATTGTTTCTAAGTATTGCAGTACATACATATTCTTGAGGAGAAAATCCATAATGTTTGAAAGAAAATGCATCAGGCAATGATACACGTCCACATATACTTCCTCTAAGGTGTTCACATAACTAATACTCAGGGAATATTGTAATATCTCTCAAAAGCCAAGGAACCATCAAATTGAAATTTTTCATGTTGTATATTACATTTTAAATTAACAAAGTCCAAAAGAACTAGGAGCTGTGAAACCTCAAATACCTGAAAATACAGATTAATGCCACCGCACCAGGCAGCAGGTAGTGGCCAATAATCGGGAGTTTGAAACATATGGTACACTTCAGGCATTACTGTCATTACTTTTCCATCAAAACATATGGTAGTTCCAAGTTGCGACAAGTTTAAACAACATCTGTGACAAAAATTCTAAGATTCATGGATTTGGAAATAAAGGCTAAAATAAACGACTAAAGTGCTAGATAGTCAAATTTTTTGACGGATGAATAGTCTCTACCACACTTGTTGACTCCAGTCGAATTCTGTCAAATTTCGACTAATTTTTCTAGCTATGTAGCAATACTCAATCAGCAATAATCAGAGATGCTGAAACCTCATTACCAGTAAATATTCAAACAACCACAAGAGACGTTTATGCAATAACTAATAAGGCAGTCGAACCTATCAACACAACTAAATTCTAATACAGCATGAAGTGAACCAAAGAGAAGTGCATTCCATTTGTTTCTAATATCAACTAAAGAATGCTCATTCTATATATCCACGTATCATGTACACAATTAGAAGAAGAAGAAAAAGTTTGTGACATTTTTTCATTTCATAAGGTGAAGGGTATGGATGAATAAAATGTCAGTTCTCTACACTTCATGGTAATGTACTTTTATTATTTATTTTGATAAAACACTCACACAGACACTTTATTGTTAAACCTGCAGAAGGATGAAAAAAAAGTTGCGTCTTCACTCACAATTTTTAAGGTATTTAAGAGATAGACAACTTGTAGCCAAAAAAAGAAAAAAAGAGATAGACAACACAAATTTTTTGTTCCTGTGTTTGAAAAACAAGGGATTATGAAGGTAATAATAATAATAATACAAAGCACATTATTGGCCTAAGTCACTTTCGATTTTAGAAATTTAGCACACTATGAAGCAGCTCAGTTAGAATTAGAACCGAAATTTAATCATGAACAGCAAATATCCTAAATTGGCAGTTGTCTGAATTTGTAATATAAAATCTTATTTTCATTTAAAATTTCTTAAAAAGAATGATATGAATCGACATCATTCATAAACTATAATTCAGATCATATTTCATAGGGAGCTTAATCATCAAATAGGAATTACTAAATCTGAGCTGTTACATTCAGTACTCTCATAATGTTAGAAGCATGTCAAAGTCAATAATACGTGTAAGATTAGTCGTTAGTCAGGCCTACTTTAACTGCATATAGAAGAATGGAAGAAATTTCACCTGCAACCACAACAATTGCAAACAAGATGTAAAAAATCAATTCAACTCAAAAATTTAAGTTGTTGGGTGAGATTATATTAAAGATTTTTATACTTTTTTTAACATGTCCCCTTATATGAGAGCCCATTGAACTTGAAAGATGAACAATGGACAGATCTACCTACCTGTGTTAAGAAACTCCACAAGATTTAATTAATTATTTACTAAATAGGGGGTGATGAGGATCAAACCCATGACACCGACACTCTGATACCATGTAAAGAACCAATTCAACCCAAAAACTTATGTTGTTGGGTGATGTTCCATTAATGATTTTTATATTTCTCTAACATTAAATCCTAAGCTTCATAATCCTCACAGTGAGGGTAAAGTGTCATTCAAGTTGATGATAGACTTGAACACTGCATAGCACTTATATTTGCCTATATTTTTCAACATCAGATGCACGATTCAATCTTAGTCGCTCGTACATGACTGACTAGAGTTTATACTACTTGCGGATACCCATAGGATTTGCATTCTTGATTATCCAAGGATGCTCCCTTATCTTCTGAAGAGAGAGCCGTCTTGAGGAGTCTTTCACCAGGAGCTGCACCAATTTACAGATTGCTGTTAGAAGAACATCTAATATGTTTACTATAAGGATTGGGGCCAGGATATGAACACTTAGATATGAACATACCCGACTAATAAGATTTTTGGCATCTGAAGAAACGGCAGGGGAGGAAGGGAAGCTTAGGTCAACCTTCATTATCCTACACAAAGCTAAATACATTACATACGCATTGAAGAGCAACATCTATTTACTTAAACATAAAAGGCCCACATACTTCCTTACCTTTTGAAGGTATCTGCTTGACTCTCAGCCTCAAATGGAGGAGAACCATAGAGGAACTCATAACAAAGGATACCGAGAGTCCAGTTATCAACCGCATAGTCATGAGCTCTGTTTTCAACCATTTCTGGTGCTAAATAATCCAATGTTCCACACATGGTATGTCTTTTGCTACTAGACTGTACAGACCAACCAAAGTCGGCAATTTTAAGACGACCCTGCAATCAAGCCATGTTAAGACTTGTTGTACAAGTGTCCTTAAACCCCAAATATAATTAACTAGCTCCAACTAGCTACCATATCTACAATAGGAAATATTTTCAGTCTAGGATTTCTTTCATATGGATTTAAATTCTGGCTTGGGAGAAGGGGATAGGAGAAGAAAAGGCAATAAGTTAAGGCGTGAGTAAAGATTTCAATGAAACATATAACAAAGCTGAAGAGGACAAAAAGTGGGATGAGGCAGAAAACAGTATTGAAATGAGCAGCAAAATGTATTATAGTTAATATTATGTAATCTGTAGGTATTCAATTTCTTCTGGGTGTATTGCCATAAGTTGACACAAAGTGCAGAAAAATATATAGCTTGCAGAAGAAAAAACAAGGTATAAAGAGAAAAAAAAATTATAAGTATATTTTGGCGTACCTCATGGTCAAGTAACAAATTTTCGGGCTTGATATCCCTATGAATAACATGCTTCTCATGACAATAAGCTAATGCCTTTGTGAGGCTCAAAATATACTAGAATTTTCAAAATAAACAAAGGTTAGGAGTCAACTGATAAGAGAGGCTTGCCTCAAAATGAAAGAGTAGGATGATAAGAATATAATATAATCTCTGCATAGAAGATACTTTTAGGAAGAGTTTGTTTCAAGGCATAATATTACATTCCCAGAAATGACATAGTTAAGTTAGCATTTAATATTTTCAGGAATAATTTTCAAAATTCAAATGATGGAAAAAAAAAGTGGGAGTGAGAGTGGAAGTTAACAGTTGCGTTACAAGATAACTTCCACTGTCATAGTATGGGAAGTCACATACACACCCCTCATCATTGGAATAAAAAACAAGTAAAACATAGCAATGTCACTTTCCTAAGAATGAATAATGTGCAGGAATATTTTTTTAAAGCTTATGCCAAACATGAGAATGTCATCTTTCCCAACTTCACTTTCCCAACAAGATTTGACAATCTTTAAAACAAACGCACCTTTAGAGATTCCAACCTGTTTTCATGTAATTTCTCTATAATTCCGTAATTTCACAGCATGACCTTACAATTAGTATAGTTGCTGCAATCATCATAAACAACTTATAATTTAATATTTAAAATTTATTATAAAAGATCTTTGCTTTGCTGTCCATTCAATCTCTTTAGAGATGTAATCAATTTATCACAAAACATACAATGGCAGATTTTTGTTCATACTTGAATTTTCTCAAAAAGTTAAAAGGCCACTAATCTCAAGTGATGCCTGAGGGCGGGACTTCAGGAAGCAATAAGGTTGTTTTTTGTGACCAAAAAGTCATGGATTCGAGTATGGAAAACAGTCTCTTTGCAAAAAATACAAGAATACAAGAATAAGACTGGGGTATAATCGACCCTCGCCCCTACCCAAGTCAGGGAGTACTAGGATTTGCCCTTAATCTCAAGGGATGCCTAGAACCACCGAAAACGTTCATTTTCCAACGAGAAAAACACAAGCTTCCTCCAAAACAAGGCCGATTAGAGCAATAATAACAGAGTTAGTCAGAATGGAAGAAGCAAGAAGGACACTGCAGCAAGGAAAAGGTGACAAAGGAAACATAATCTCATGACTCATGACTCTAACCTGTCAAATCCATATCCAAAAAACCAACCTTTATCACATAATCTTCAAAACAGATATACATACACACTTAAGAAAGGATTACCGTGGCAGCCTGCTTCTCAGTGAGATGACCTTTTTTTCTTAGCTCCTTGTAAAGCTCACCGTTATGAGCATATTCAAGAATCAAGAAAACACGCTCATCGTCATGAAACCAACCATAGAGTCGCAGGATGTTCGGGTGGCGAAGAGCGGATTGTATCTCCATCTCTCTCCTTAGTTGATGTTGAATTCTGTACTTTTCAATTTGTTGCTTAAAAATAACCTTCAATGCCACAATATATTTGCTCTGAACACACACACACACACACAAAACCATTGGCAACACAGAAAGCAAAATCTGCACCTCCCGTAAGTATCAAAGATAAGTATTTAAATAATTGTTGCACATAGATTTACTTAATTTTCAATAAATCAATTATTTAGCTAAGGGACATTTTAATTATTTTTTTAATTACTTGAAAACTTATTTTTTTAATTACTTGAAAACCTATTTATTTATAACATAGATGGAGAAGTTGAAATAACCATGTTCGATGATTTATAAAGAAATGAAACATAGAAACGTTGATTTATGAAGCGTGAGTTAGGAACCTTGATCTCTCTGGCGACGTAGACCCTGCCGAATTTGCCTTTGCCGAGGGGTTTACCGATCTCGAAGTCTGCGAGGGACCACTTCCGATTTGAGTTGTCTTCTTCCTCCGCTGGGTTTTGGGAAGCCATTTTCGGTGGATTCAGAGATTGAAAAAAGGAAGAATTTAACGGAATTTGAATATCTTCAAAGGCGCCTAAACTCAAATCAAGTGCAAGCAACGAACTCGTGCTATCATCTCAGAGCCGCATTGGTTATATCATCGGCAAATATCTGTTTCATGACACACAAAAGAAAGTGGGTGGACCAACCATGGAGAAAAAAGAGAAAAAAATAAAATAAAATAAAGTAAATATTGTTTTTTGGTAGGTAACAAAGGCCTACGATGCACCGACACAGGACATGACACGACACTCCAACACGTTAATTCTAACAAAATGCTAAATTTTGACACGTTGGACACGTTTTGATATTAAATAATATTTTTAATATATATAATATAATTTACATTTAATACATATAACAACTCATAATAAATCATATAACTAATCAAATATTCAAATTTCATAATATAAATATTAAGCAAAAATAATAGAACATCCCAAGAGTTGTAGACCATTTATACACTGCGTGTCACACAAAATAGAAGTGTTGGGCCTCTTATTACCTTCTACTTGCTAGTGCACCTTACATATGGTAGATGTCTGACTATAATATTGAGTTTTGTTTTTATATGATATGTAAAACGAGATACAGGGTGGCAGACTTTTAAAAGACCTGGAGTTAAAGCTTTCTTGGATCATCTAGCTTAATTCTATGAAATTGTGGTGTATACAGATGAACAAACCATGGTAAGCTGGCAAACACAATGCAGTTTACATATAATATATTCACCAAGATGAATGGGCAAAAAATTGATCGTGCATATTTTGTTTACTTGTACAAAAAATGATTAAGAACCCCAAATCCATCCCCTTACCCACAACAAAACCAGCCGCAACCCCAAATATTGAACCAAAAATCTGAAAAGTTCAAGCCATTTGCAAATTAAAAACTATGGTCATTGTCAATCAACGAACGAAATATTATCAGAAAGAAACCTGTTTCAAGATTTTCCTACTGGCAAGGGGGGAAGACCAGTAAAAGACTATTTTTTTTATTTTTTAGCCAAAGCTATGGACTTATACATAGGGGATGAAAAGAACAAAAAGGATTAGACTCACACACATAATATCATGTTTGTAGGACTCTCGGCCATTAATACAAACAGGTTGTATGCATCAAATTTTTCAAACAATAAAATCAGACCTGTGTGTATAGCAACAAGTATAGGTGAGGAACGGACAGCAAACTGGCACTGACGGAAAGCTAGGTGAGGGACGGACTGCTGGAAACTGGCACTGACGGACGGCTAGGTGAGGGACGGATGGCTGGAAACTGCCCACCGAGCTGTACCGTGTTCACCTTTAAGGGTTGTTTGAGAACGAAGAACACACCTGGAAACTGGCATTGACGGACTGTAGGCGAGGGAGGTGAGGGACGAAGAACGATGGAAGTAAGGAAGTGAGTCTGAGCGGGATGATTTAGGGTTCAAAACATTCGACCAAAATTTTTTTTGTTTTTATTTTAAAATTATTTTAATTTTATAAATATGTCAAACATTTTACATTTATTATACCCTTTGACCGTGTCCGACACGGACAAAATCGCATGTCGGGATAGTTAATGTAAAAGTCGACTGCGTGTCGGACGCGCGTCGGAACATGTCTGTGTTATCCGACACGCATTTTTCTTCAAAATTAACATATGGTGCTTTGCAGACAAAGGTTACGGAACTCATTTTAATTTCTCATAAAAGAAAAAAAATACCTATATCAGTTCTTTTTGAAGAATTAATGCGGATCTTATTTGAATTTTTTAAGGAATTGTAATTTCAAAGAAATTACAGATCGACTATTTTTTTCTAAGAAATTAAAATAGATTCCGTATTTTCTTATTAAAAATCCAAAAAGATATTTACTCAAAATAAAATAAATTTTATAAATATTATGGAAAACACTCTCCCTTGTATTATATGTCTCAGGGATATACATATTTCTTATAAAATATTTATTAAATAACTATCCATAATATATATATATATATATATATATATATATATATATATATATATATGGTTTTATAAGAATTATGTTGTAGGAAAAGTGATTGTGTTATGTTATAGAGATTCGTTTTGCGTGCCGAAGTTTTTTTTTTTTTGCTGTGGGCCCCACAAAATGTTGTGTGTGTAGGAAACTTTTTGTGGTCATGTTAAATGATAGATGATAAACCCATATATATATATATATATATATATATATATATATATATATATATATATATATATATATATATTAAAGGTATAAAATATTGTAACTCATTTTTTAGCGATAGAAGTCTAATTTAACGAATCGTAACTACCAAAAAAAAAAAAATCCAAACAAAAGAATTGGTATTGAACTTGATTTATTAAATGCAAATGGATGTCCATGGAACCTAAAATCTGAAAACAAACGAGAACTAATTGTATCTACTTATCTCTTTTTTTAAAGATGCTGAATAAAAAAAATTGAAATTAAAAATTAAAACAGGTCAAGCTTTTAAAAGATCAAATTAGGCTAACAAAAAACACTTATATGAAGAATTTAGTCATGCTTAAATTTTATATTTATTGAGAAAATAGGTCGTTCCGTTTTCATGCTTAATTAATATTTTACACGTAAATAGAAAAAATTGTTCTGACATTTTAGATATTTATGCTTAGAATACATAAATATCGAGGATATTGATATTCAAGAAATCCAACGTGTATATATTTTTAGGGTTCGCTTTTTCTGCAGTTACTGCAGATAACTTATCTGCAGTAAGTCAATACGACGTCGTTTTGGGACAGAAATTATGGTGTTTTTGTAATTTTAATTTATTTCAGGGTTATAATAGTCTTTATATTTATAATTTTTTAAAATTTCAATACCAAAACGACGTCGTTTTGGGAATAAATGCAGATAACTTATCTGCATTAACTGCAGAAATATTTTTCCCATATTATTATACATACTGTGAATTTGTTGAGGACACTACAATTTTTGGGAAAAGAGTAACCTTGCAAACGTATGTGTATTTTGCATGTGTAAAATAGTATTAACTTGTATTTGGATAACAATATGTGAAAAATAATTTTTACTAGATGAATATATACTTGCAAAATTAAATTTTAATTATGTAAAACAAATATATGCATGAATGAGATTACTCTTTAATACACAAATGTCTATATATTATATAAAGTAATTAGATACAAATGTAATTAACGACTAGTAGTAAATGTAAGATTTATTGATATAAGTTTAGGAATGATTATATTTACAAATTTTTTATTTACAAACTACACTCAGTATGTACTTCCGAAAGTACACTAGATTACACTATATACTTTCTGAATTACATAATGTAATTTACAAAAATTTATAAAAAAAAAAATTTATAAACATACTCTTCCCTTCATTATTTCTTATATATATTTATATGTAATACTAAAAAATCATAATTATTTTATACTGATATAAATTACACTTTTAATTTTGACTGTTAATTCAATATATATCTAATGGTTTATACTGGTATAAATTACACTTTTAATTATTTTATACTGGTATAAATTACATTTTTAATTTTAACTGTTGAATTGGTATATATCTAATGGTTCTAATTTGTTAGATATGAGAATTATTAGATACAAATAAATCAATAACCAAAATTGACTATAAAACTTCCTATTTTTATGCCGGTAAAATAATAATTTGCCATAATACTGAATATAATCACAACTTTGTGAACCTAATTGCAATTGTGCCTCACAATTTTAATTCTCACTTCTTTTAGTTTTAATGAATATGGTTGAGTTGGTAAGATACCTATGAAGTTATGGGGCAAAATTTGACTATTTGGCATCCCATACCTGTGTTATGCTGGAGTGTTCAGGTGAAGAGGGGAGCAGCTGAAAATTAAGGTTCAGAAAGACTAAAGGTTCAGTCTGAGTGATGTGAAAACAAATTAAGGACATTAAAAATGATTACAGATTACATGATGCACCAAACATAGTTCTTCCTTCTTAGAGGGAACCAATATTCTTAAGACCAAGAACAACCCCAACCCCAATGATGTGGCCAACAGTACCACATGCCAATGTATCAGCAAGTGTGAACCCAGCTGGGTCACCAGTTTGCAACCCTGAGTCCCTCGCTTCAAGCTTTAGCCCTGCAGTGGCTTTCCTATTTGCTGATGGAGCCAATCCAAACCTTCCAGCAAACAGCATCAAGGTTGTAGAAGCCACCATAATCTGCCCAACATCTCAAACTCAAATCACCTCCTCATATGCAATTAATCATATGATATATAGTAACAACATAAATAAATTACATTTGTAACTAGTGTTACTTTGTTCAACTCAATGACCAACTTTCCAAATTGAAATTATAATTAAGAGTAAATTACATTTACTCGGGCCATTTTAATCCCTTAAGAAAAAAAAGTTGCCTTGTGGTCTCTCTAAAATTTAATTCAAAATAGATTTAGTTAGCAGAAATCGTGGTCTTTCTAAAATTCAAATAAGACTCACATTAGTTTTAAAAAGGATTGACATGGGTCTATTTTATTTTGAATTTAAGAAGAATCACGAGTCGACTTTTTTTTCGCAAGGGAATTAAAATGGGCCCCCTAATTTCTGTTGAAGACATACTTTGCTCTGAAATTAAAGCATGTTTTTTTCACACACTTGTTTGTCATATTAATTGAACTAGAAACTTTCTGATTTTTAGTACCATTATGCTCTCAGAAATTCACAAGATTGTTGCATGTATAAATTACATTTTTTTTGTTTAAACCCCATTTGTATAATAATTAAGTGAATATAGTATTATGTACCATTATGGAACAAATAACAATGGAATTGGCTCTAAATCTTGAGATCCTACCAGATTAGTGGATGAACCAATGAAGTCACAGCGAGCTCCCAAAGCACCCTTTCCCTTGCGCCTCATGGGTTGGACAGCAACCTACACAATTAAGCAGAGAAGAGTTATAAGGCAAAACCCATTAATCACATTTAAATTCACAACAATTATATATATAAATATAAAGGGTTCTGACCAAGTTGTGCACAGGGGTTGCTGAGAATTTGGGTCTAAGACCATTGAATTGAGGGAGAGTGGTCATCACAGTGGTTGCCATTTGTTAGAACTCAGTGTTGAATCTCTCTTTCTTTCTTTCTCTAATCTCTTTTTTATTTTTCTTTGAATGATTATTTGGGTTGCTGAAGGGGAATGATGTAACATCAACGTGTAACTGAGTATAATGATAGCCACATAAGCAATTTGTGGCTTCAGAAAGCCATCAAGAGATGTTGATAGATACGTGACTCCGACGTGGCATTATCTCATTTGACTTCATTTGGGGGAATGGATAATGTCTTAGATATTGTGAGCAGATTCAGGATGTCCCTTTTTTTAGATTTTCTAACAATTTGTTATTATTATTCTCAACCCTTCATTTTTTTATTTATTTTTTGTAAATTCCAGCTTATGCTTTAAAATTTATATTAATGATGCTGAATTGATTTCTTTTTAGTAAATAATTGTTGAGCTTATTTATGATGTTGGTATAAATCAAATGCGAATACTTTTAAATCAGAATTATCTTTTGAGAGTGAATTTTTTTTTCTGTCTTGAACTTATTTTTAAATTTTTAAAATTTTTAAATTATTAAATACTTTTAAATTTCATTTTATATTAATTTTTTATTTTTAAATCTCATCCGCACTTATACTCTCAAAATAATTACTTTTTTTTGTAAACAAAATAATTACTTTTAAATTTCCTTTGTGTTAAAATTTGTTTATTTATTTATTTTCAAAATCTCAAATTAATTTCTTCAATTTTCTACTTTTTTTTATGAAGAATGACATATATTTTTTCTCCACTTTTTTTTTATTTTAAGTTCAATTTTTTAATTAATTATCATATCTTATTTTTAATTTAATCTTTTTCTAATAACTTCTTTTTTTTTATTCTGCCTAAATAAAATATATTTACCCCCATTTACAAATAGTGAAATGGCGAACATTCGAACAATGTCCGAGCAAGTTAGAAATAAGTTTAAATAACAAGTGAAATAGTGAATATTTACACACAAAAAATGGACAAAAATTAAAGATAGAAAAAACAAAAAAGTATTACCTGGAATAGGAGTAAAGGGAAGAATAAAAATAGTTAATAAAAGAGGAAGGTTATATTTATAACCTATTTTCGTTTACAACCTTTTACAACCATATCTTAATCGTTGATTTTCGTCAATCAACGGTTATCATTTATTGTGAATTAATAATTAATTAATGAGTTTAATTTGAAAAAATAATAACCGTTGATTGACAGAAATCAACGGTGTTAAGATATTGTTGTAAGAGATTGTAAACAAAAATAAGTTATAAGTATAACCTTCATCGTTAATAAAATAAGTATTTTTTTATTTTAAAAGTTAAAAATCAAAAGACAACAAAAGCAATTCATATATGTATTCTTTAAATTTGATTCTAAAAATTAAAAAAAATTATAATTTTTAGAACTATTTTAATAAAATAGGTCTTATCATTTCTTGAAAATCAAAAAACTATTTTTGAAAACAAAATTCAAACAGGCCCTAAATAAAAGTTGATCATTTACATAAAAGTAAAAATAAATCTAAGCAAATGAATCAATATTCAAATATCAATAATATTTATCATTTAAATTTTGTAAATAACTTTCAACTGTAACATTTACATGAACAGAAATTTATGAACTACGTCTACTTGTTATAAATCAATATAAATTTTTTTAGCACCCATTAGATAATTTGTTATCCTTTGAAACAAATTTCAACGTAGAAAGATCACAATAGCTTGAAGCCTTGAACAGCTCATTTAGGATGATACAGTAATTTGCTAACCACTTTGTTTCTGCAGTTCACCAATACTCTGAGACTTAAAATCTGCACAACTTGTGTAGTTTTGATAGGACTACGTTGTAATTAGAGCTATGCTGCAAAAATATTCCAAGCAATCATTGAAGTAGAAGATAATGAATTGTTCCATCAAAGCTTTCATCATTTTGAAAAGGATCACTTTAGTGCTAATTGGAAGCAGATATCATTCAACTGAGACTTCAATCTTGTTCTGGAAGATTGCATATCCCACATCATAGATCTTCGTTAGCTGGAACTACCTTCAGTAATTTGGCAAGGTCATAAGACTTGAAGTCTTTCCCATAACATAAGCTTAGATCAAGTGCTGTTTTTCCATCCTGAAACATGACAAATCAATGAAGTTATACCATAAGGAAAAAGAAGAAATCCCTTATTGACTAGTACTAAACTCAAGTTTCTCATTGACTAGTACAAGAATACTAGATAACAATACAAATTTGAAACCAAAGGAAGGAGAGGATTTCTACACTTTACAACAGAAACAACTTATTTATTAGTTCCAATGGACTATAGCAGTATAGCCCAAAAGGATGAAAAGATATATCAAAGAAAGAATAGGCCATCAAAAAATGCTAAGAATAAACAGAATGATAATAACACATGTTCATCATGTTACATTTAAATTATTATAACAGTGAGTTCTATAGTGAAATGTAAAACAAAATTACCTTATTTTTTCTTGTCTTATCTGCACCACTGACTAACAAAATTTTTGCTATATCTCTGTTTCTGCTTTGAATGGCAATGTGCAATGGGGTCCAACCATCCTGAAAGATAATTAGAATTGCAAATAAACCACAGACAGTAAGCAAAAGTGAAGAACATCTTTACAAATTAAAAACTAGAAGGCTTGTACACTCACATTATCTGCAACATTGACATCAACTTTATACTTGATCAATAATTTCACAGTTTGCTTGGCACCAACTTGAACTGCATAATGAAGTGGAGTAGCTCCATCCTACCATAGCAGGAAATATATAAACACCTAAGCATACTTCAGAATAGATTTAACTGTTTATGACATTTATAAAGAATATTTTCTCACCTTATCCTTAACATGAGGACTAGCACCTTTCCGTAAAAGATGGCTTATCACAGCTTCTTTTCTGCCTATAATCGCCTTATGAAGCGCAGTGAGACCTTCCTGTTTGATCAACTTATCTTATTCGGGTCTAGGCAAATACTGTGAACAATTGACATACTTGTATGCCAAATACAAACAAACTCACTTTATTAAGGAAATCAATATCCAAACCATTTTCAAGAAGCTTGTCCATGCTACTAATCTGCATTGATAGTGCAAGAGTGTGCAGTGGGCTCCATTTTGCCTGAAAATGTGAATATAAGAGCTTAAGTGTAAATACGAAAGTTGGGAACTAGGAGAGACAGATGCAGAGTCACAAACATACAGTTGATATTTTTTCTAAGTTAGGGGTTACATTCTGCTCCAATATTGCACTTTCTACTGGATCCATAAGCTGTTCAACCTCTGCAATAATGAGCACATCTACTTACATTAGTGGATCATTGTCCAGGGTCAAAAGATATTCTACAATCTACTTATCAACCTTCTTTCAGGTTTTTTCTTTTTTTTGGACATATTTCATAATTAGGATCTTGTTCAAGCTTAAAACCATATTTAAAGTAACAAGTACAAGCACTAAAGAGGGAGAAAATATGTAAAGCAATATTTTAAAAACTGGATTAATCATCAAACTGGTAAGGTTAGCATATCACGGCCAGACCGGTTCAACTAGTTTAATTGACAATCGAACTGGATCACATAAAAAGTGGTCCAAAAAATTCTAAGGTTGTATTTTCCTTCATTTCTTCGTATTATTCTCATACAAAAAAATAGAGTGTAACAATATAAAAAATATATATATGCAGAAGTAATCTTTTAAGTTTAAGGGGGGAAAAACAAGGGTTGGGATCAGGCATGCTGTCATCTTTATCGTAAACTGTGGACCTTTTAATCTAAGCAAGCACCAAAGGAAGCTTTGTGGTTTAGTCAGAAAATGGGCTACGATTTTGGCTTTACAATCCCAAACTTCATCCCAAGTTTTAGAATTTAGACTGAGTCTGTTCTAATAAACTGGTCATGGTTTTGGCCAGTCCAAATTCAAGTCTGATTTTTTGGGTCCATCATCTGGTGAAGGTGCTTGGCCAGTTGCCACTTCAACTGATTGGGATGGCCAGGGTCTGGTCCAGTTTCAAAACCATGACGTTATGATTCCAAAATAGAAAAATAAACAAGAACAAGAAAAGTACCTCTCTTAAGATGCTCCTCATACTTGTCCCTTGAAGTTATATTAACATCAGTAATAGCTGAAGTCTTCGTCTCTTCCTCTTCCCAATCACTTTCAAATCCAAGGTTCTCATCTTCAACTCCCTCACCTTCTTCATCATCACACTCACTGTCACTGTCAATATCTGGTTCTTCCCAAGTTCCATTTCGTTGTTGCATTTGCAAATACGATACTTCTCGGCTTGATTTGATTGCACTAGTACTCCAAACTTTATAATTGTCCCTAGCAAAAGAGAGACTGAATTTTTCTTTGCTTCTGCTTCTATATATTTTATAGAAACTGGCGGCAAATTTGGAGTTCATGGCAGATTCAGTAATGATGGCAGAAAATGGAATAAATTGATTAGTCATAACAGATGCTGTAGACCAAGAACCCATTTCTGTTTCCCTGAAAAGCAGACAAAAGATGAAGAAATAAAAACAAATTAACAAATGCAAACAAGTTACATATAGTTGTCACTCAAACACAATCATATAGTTTGGGGACACTGATAATACAAACTGCAACAACCACCTGGAAGGGCACCAAGATGAAAATTGCAAAAGGAAAGCATTTGTAAAAAAAAAGAGCATGAATTGTCACCAAATATTATTGTAGAGGGAAAAGTTGGAAAAACCCTAAATTCTTGCAGATAAGGACCAATCTTATGCAACTAGAGATGATTTGGGAGTCCAATCATACACAAGGAAGGGTATAGACCAAATCCCACTAGCATCTCGACCTATGGAGCATTGATTCCGACACGGCGTATTCGATACGTTCCCGATACGGGACGTCGATACGATACAATACATTTCCGATACGTTGAAAAAAAAAATTCTGAGTATCGGTGCTTCATAGATCTTGACACAACTGTCCACACTTGTTTAAGTGCAAACACAATATTAAGGGCAGTTTGGAGCTATAAAGCTCCCGCTATGCACATGATCCAGGGAAAGGTCAGTCCTATAGTGTGGGTCTATAGTAGGCAGCCTTACCTTGCAATTAAGGCAACAACACCAACTATTGTGTTAAGGTCCCCCTTCCACATGTTATTTCATGTTCAAATCTAGCCCTAATGTGCCAAATATCAATTTTCTGCTTAGGCTAGACACCATAAACTTTAAACTCATACAAAATCCAGTTTAGCTTAGATATTAATTTTTGAACTTGAGTGATCCAATTCAGCTTAGAATCCCAACAAGGAATAATATTCTGGCTATATCTCAACATTTATCAGCTAGTGGAAACTATGCATGTTTATCGTTCAGAGGATTCAAGAATCACTCAAAAAGGTTGAGAAATGAAGATTTCAAAACAATTTGAAATTAAAAATTCACACTTCTATTAATCCACAAAAATATGTAGTTTCTACTTTCAAGGAAAATTATTGACTCCAAAGACAAGAAGACTAGTATGTACCTTCCATAAACTTAGTGCAATACAAGCCATAGTCATAACTGAACTACAGGTGCACCACACTCATTATTGCTAATAACACTAGGATGGGTAGTTCTTGTGTCTGAATGTATGTGTGTGTGTGTGTGCAAGAGAGCGATTCATAAATAATGTCAAAAGGTCGGTTGTTGGCGTTCAGCCTCTTCCCAGAAATCTGTTTGAAGCAATGTCTCTTTGAGAGACAGAAATATACCAAGAATTTTCATGTTAAAAAGATTGCAACAGAATAAAAAAGTTCAATATTTGTATGAGTTCGTTTTTTCATGAATTACACACAAAATAAGGGTGAATGGTTTATTAATTATACCAAAATAAGAACACGGGGCCTTTAAGCAAACACATGGTGAGCAAACAGAGAATCATTTAAAATGAACGGAAAAGGGGATTGATGGATTTACTCTAACCAAAATCAATGGGTCTTTCGCTTTGTTGGTTAGCAAAACCTTAAACTCCCTTTCTCCTTCAATGTGGTAAAGCGACGTTGTGCTCTGTTCCCCTTTTCCACAACTCCACTAATACAGTATCTTTGTGTTTGGAACTGGATTAATGGCGATATATATATATATATATAGAGTTTGGATCATTTTACACCGGTGTAAGTTACACTCTTAATCTTGTCCGTTAATCCCACTTATATCTAATGGCTCAGATTTTTTAGTAATGTGAGCCATTGGATACAAGTGAATCAATGGTCAAGATGGAGTGTAAGACTTCTAACTCTTACACCGGTGTAAGAATATCCTGTTATATATATATATATATAGGATTTGTTGTTTGTCATTTTAAATGATATAAGTTATGTTATTTTAGGAGAGAGATAGACACATAAAATGGGAGAGAGAAAGTGATGGTTTTTTTTAATTTAAAATTCAAATTTTTTGTATCTGTATCTCTCTTGAAATGACATAACTTTCTATCATTTAAAATGACAAAGACTTTTCTCATATATATATATATATATATATGGGGAAGGATATTGTGACAACCAAGTTGTGTTACTACCAAATGACTACCAATCAATCTCACCGTTAGATCGATTATGTTGATCCAACGGTTATATTTATTTCTATCTTTGTATGGTCATGATTCCCCATATTTAAAGTGAAAGCATTAAATATGGAAATCATAACCATACAAATGTGAAAATAAATATTAAGTATTAAATTTGGGAAATCATGACCATACAAAGATGGAAATAAATATAACCGTTGGATCAATATAATCGATCTAACAGCAAGATTGATTGGTAGTCACTTGGTAGTAATACAACTTGGTTGTCACAATATCATTCCCCTATATATATATAGATGGGGCAGGATCATCTTACACCGGTGTAAGAATAATAAGTCTTACACCAAATCTTAACCATTGATTTTCTACATCTAACGGTTAAGATTTATTAGGTATCACTCATTAATTAATTTTTAATTACTAATAAATCTCAACCATTGGATGCATGGAAATCAACGGTTAAGATTTGGTGTAAGATTTATTATTCTTACACCGGTGTAAGTTGATCCTATCTCTATATATATATATATATATATATATATATATATATGAGTTTTATTAGTCTCATTTAACATAAGATAGGTATCTTATATTGTAGAGAGAAAATAGGTGAGTCCCACCATTACAAGAAAAAAGAAAAAGGTGGGGTACCGAAATCGAAGTGAGAGAAAATGAGACATGATATCTCATGTAAAAGGTGAGTAATATTTTCCTATATATATATAGGAGGAGATTATACTTATAATCTATTTTCGTTTATAATTTCTTACAACCATATCTTAACTGTTGATTTTCGTCAATCAACGGTTAAGATTTTCACAAATTAAATTTATTAATTAATTATTAATTCACAATAAATGACAACCGTTGATTGGCAGAAATCAACGGTTAAGTTAAGGTTGTAAGAGTTTGTAAACTATTGGGGTTGTAAATATAACCTCTCCCTTTATATATATATATATATATATATATATATATATATATATATATATATGTGGATTTAATGTTTCTAGAGTGAATTTAAATAAGTTATCTACATTTACTCCTAAAACTACGTCGTTTTGGGTTTAAAAATTAAAAAATTATAATGAAAAAGACTATTATAACCCTGAAATAAATTATAATCACAAAAATACCTTGATTTCCTCCTCAAAACGACGTCGTTTTGGACTCACTGTAGAGAAGTTATCTACATTGACAGCAGAAAAACAAACTATATATATATATATATATATATATATATATATATATGGTTTAGTGTATGTAATTCAAAAGGACACAAGTTGTGTGCTTTTAGTGACTTACACAGAGTATGACCGGTCATATTCTGTGTAATTCTGAAAAGTTGTTTTTTTTACACTTTACACGTCAGCGATGTGACTGAAGAGAGAAAAAAAAAAACAACTTTTCAGATTTACACAAACTATGACCGGTCATACTTTGTGTAAATCATCTAAAAGGACACAACTTGTATCCTTTTAAATGATAGTCTTTTTCCCCGTATATATATATATATATATATATATATATATATATATATATATATATATATATATATATATATATATGGGCAGGATATTCTTACACCGGTGTAAGAGTTAGAAGTCTTACACTCAATCTTGACCATTGATCCACTTGTATCCAATGGCTCACATTACTAAAAAATCTGAGCCATTAGATATAAGTGAGATTAACGGACAATATTAAGAGTGTAACTTACACTGGTGTAAAATGATCCTGACCCATATATATATATATATATATATATATATATATGTGTGTGTGTGTGTGTAACTTACACTGGTGTAAAATGATCCTGACTCATATATATATATATATATATATATATATATATATATATATATATATATATATGAGTCAGGATCATTTTACACCAGTGTAAGTTGAGCCATTGGATACAAGTGGATCAAAGGTCAAGATTGAGTGTAAGACTTCTAACTCTTACACCGGTGTAAGAATATCTTGCCCCTAATATATTGCATTTTTGTATCTACCTTAATAAATAAATAAACACTTTATGAATGAAAAAACTAAATAAGTGAAAAATATAAAAATTATATTATAATGAAATGAATCAAAATCAAATGAGTAACAATATAAAAATTGATATCTTAAAAATAAACTATAGATCAATGTCTTTCCTATATCCTATAATCATGAGATAATGTTATTTTATGCAATTTCAAAATTGTGGGATTTGAGGAAAAGATGCAAAGTATTTTAATAAAATTCATAGTATAAAAGGAAAATATTTTTTTTAAAATACTTTGTATTTTTTCCCTACATCTCAAAACAACTTCATTTTTGGATTATTGAAGATAATTTTATATCCTCTTGCAGAAAAAATACTTTTTCCAAAAAGAAATTATATGCACCAAGATTTTATTCAAACTTATGAGAAATTAAAAAGTTAATTATGTATGCAATTAATTTTCAAAAACGATATCATGCCAAATTTAATTATTTGCACTTTATTTTAATTTAAGAAAAATTAGAAAGTTAATTATTTGCACTTTACTTTTTTATTCAAAAGATTTTTGAAAAAGAAATTTTATTTAAAAAAATGAAATAAAATCAAATACATGAATATTGAGAACGTGATTAAACTCATTAGGAAAAAATTATTAACAAAGGATGTGTGTAAGACCCACACTTTTAAAAAGTGAAAAAAAAAAAAACAATAGTTATTTCCGTGATCCCTTTTCCCCACCACCGTAACACCCTTATTAGCAGCTTTCTTTTTTTCTCCTTTTCAAAGAACTCATTCCATCTCATCAACACATTTTTTCCTCTTAAACTCAAGCACCATTCCTCCCCATCAAGACTTCCTCTTCTCTTTTTACAATTTCACGAAGCAATTTGTAAAATCATGTATGCACATGATGTATTAATATCAATTATGGCGTTAATCACAGTTATATTTTAATTAATGACTTCAAAAATGCGAATAACTTTTCTTTTTTCTTAATAAAATTTATTCTATAATTAATAATGTTTACTTCCTTAATTATTCATCACATATTAATTAGAAATGTCGTACATTAACTCACAATCCTCTAACATGTGGCCCACAAAGACCAAGGGGGGTAAAACACATCATAAAGGCACAGGGTCAACGTACTCGAGCGCACTTTTGCATGTGAAATTTCACCTGCGTTTTAGCGCGCTCAAAGAGGTTGGCTATTGCCTTTGGCATTTTGAGCGCGTTTTATCCCACTCCCCATAAAATGAACAGGTTCACTTTGGAGTCTTACACTCCTTTTTGTTCCGGATGGCTCAAGCACTGGAGCGGCCCAGTTGCTCAGGCCCAATCCTCAGCCTTGTTCGGCGTCAGCCCTTAGGGCTGACGTGGACCCTCACGATCTCCAAGACTGCATTACGTTCAAGAGATACACCAAAATGTCCCACTTTGGGACATTAACCGCTAAAGGCAGTCGCCATAAGCACTGCAAAGGAATCTGCCCCTTTGCTCAGTGCTGACATCGCCAGGTGCAATGGTTGCAGCACTGCCATTGTGGCAGCGCCAACCACGCCTAACACAGCCATCAAGGGAGCACATCCCAAGGAGGGTTGACCCCCACCTCACCAACCCACACCATTTTCCTTATAAATAGCCTTCATGGGCACAACAGGATCTTCATCTTTTATGTACTGTTATTGTGCTCATTTACTCTTAAGTCATACCCTTACTATTTGTCTGCCATTGATATCTGCTTACTTGTTCTTGGAATAATACCTTCTAGCCTGGTCTTTACCTCAGCTAGAGGTACAACCATATAACAACATTACCCTCAAAGGGTACATAGTGGGCTCACAGAACCAAACGGTACATTGGCGCCGTCTGTGGGGAAAGATAAACTTCTATTCTCATTCTCTTACCCAAAGATCCATTTGACGGGTCATTTCCTCTTACTAACAAACAACCGCCAGACGCTTTTTACAACTCTACATGGTTGTCACCACCAGGAGAGCGGAGCACGCCAGGGCCATGACGCCAGAAGGACACGTACAGACAGTACAACCAAGCTCCCTTCCATCCATGCATTCAACCCCAGCCGAGCGGGCCGCTGGAGAGGTCCAACCTCCTGTACTACAAACCATAGGCCCACAGTTGCCAACGAATGATGCTAGGATCGCCCTGCAACATCATCAAGCACCCATGTGCGAGATGCAGGGAGAAAATGTAGTCCTAAACCAGCCACCACCCCCAGAGTTCATTTTGGAATGCCATTTCCAGTAGTTGTCCCACGACCTACCTATCTCACCCGTCCTCCGTTCCCAGCCTAAAGTCAACCACTGCCAGTATACCATGACCGCGAGATACCCATGGTCGCCCCATACCCTCCTAGGCCGTACACGCCTAACGTGGCTATTCCTTTTCAACTACCTCACCAAGCTGGTTTCCCTTTCCATGGTTACGCCATTCAACCCCATAACGCAGTCGTTCCACAACCTCAGGCATCTTGCCCGAATCCTAACCAACAACCATATGGC